CCTTCATACTGAATTCACATGCATACTAATACAGTCACGTTACGATACACTAAGATTACACGAATATATGAAGGTTTTGGAGAACATTGTTGAAAGGGAATAAGAGAGCTCAGCTTATTAGATCTCACATGTTGTGAGGAGAAGAAGGGCTCCCGGGTCCACTATCGGTTGCCTTCGTGTATGTGTCGGAGATCGACCTTCTTCGAAACCGGAAGGACTCCCTACCTCCAAAAGGGAGAAATTACTTATAAATAAACACAAAGTTGAAAGATGATACTAAGAGATAGGAAATCAAGAATTAGTATTTGCATTGATTACTCATGAATTTACAGTTTCATGTAGAGAATTTATGAGGTATGAAATCAGAGACATAGCAAACAAGAACGGATTAAATCAATTTTCGATGTGAAAAACGAAAGATCCAAGAAAAGGCCACTAATAACAAGCTTTGAAACATCAAACCCAACAGCAAAACAACTTTATACAGAGAGTTTTCTATTGCTAATCGATTTCTAAACAATCCTTCTTTAGTTCAACGATGATACATGTTTTAACTATTAGAAACCACGAAACTTCACAATGGTATGATATTGTCCAGTTTGAGCATAAACTCTCATAATTTTGCTTTTGGTTTCCCCAAAAGGCGTCATACCAATGAAAATAGAGTTCATTACTTATAAATCCACAATCAACCCCTTGATTAGCTAATATGGGACTCCCAACATTCCTCAACATTAAGTAGTTAGTTTATTAGTTTAGCTATGCTCAAATTGTTATTTCTAAATGATTTTACTATCGTTCAAAGCAACCCATAAGAGCAAAAACTTAAGCAGTAAGGGTTTTGAAACAGAGAAACAATGATAATTAAGTTTGCAATAATTATTTCACAAGATCCAGATTTTTTCTTTGACCACCATGAATGTTTATGAAGTAAGCTCGACGTTTTCAAACTAAACCACAATTCCCACCTATTTCATTTAACTTCTTATAACAAATCAGCAGAACCACACGAAATACTTTTACTTGTTTGACAAAGACCAGCCAACCAACGAGCAAGGCAAACAACCTCCACAAAACAGGAGATTAGTCTATAACTATGTCCACTAGAAGAGAAGTAAGCAATGAATTTGAAAACGATTGAACTGAAAACTGCTAATGAAACCCCATAAATACGGTGGGTCAATGGATTAACTATTCAATGGCAATCGAATTTAAACAAACAGAAGCACTTTCAATGGAAGGATGCTCTTCAATCCAGGTTTAATTAGAACCATTTCTTTTCACCAAATACAACTACCGTTTTCTGTGCCTGTCCAATCATGAAGGCGATGCCATAACCAAAGGACAAAAAAACCCCCCTCGTGTAATTTTATTCCAATTTGTGTTGAAAGATAAAAGTGCATTTGGATTCTACATGAAGGGCATATTCGTAATTTCGAATAAAGAGGAAAGGGCAAAAAAGACGTCTCTGTTACTTACCAGAAAAAGGCGATGCCGGAGAACTAGATCCGGCCGGTGAAATAGGCGGCGAACCACACTGGTACCCTGGCGGCCTTAGTATCATGATACTCCTCGTGATCCTCACCGACGATTGTGAAGATTCTTCGCCGTACGATCTCGCGCTGCCGCCATCGAGCTCTGATCCAAAAAGAGTTCAATAAAAAATCAAGAAAAAAGAATAGTCAACATAGAAACTATGATTTTATGAAGTTCAAGGAATCGATTGAGCATCTTTTTCAGTTCAAAGGTACAGATCCTGTCAAATTTCGAGACAAATTCGAGCTGCTGGCTATTTTTCAAGCAAAATCAACGGTAGGTTTTTATTAAGAAATTTATAAAAAAAAATTAGAATCTCAATTCGATCATCAGCCTACAGCTTAAACCACTTTTAACCTAGAAAAATCAATCGAATACTCAATATTCCGTTATTGAGCTTAAAATTAGGGTTTCAAGTTGAAGTTCATCGAGTTCGACGACGTGTTCGCTATGGCAAGCAGTGGAATAAAAATATCCATAGCGTACCCTTGCTGCCGGAGCTATTTCGCCCAGAAAACGTGGAATGTTTACGAAGCTTGCCAAGGCCACTATCTGGCCGGGGTCCAGCGACGGTATCGTCCCAAAGCTGGTCAAGTAAGCCCATAAGGAACAGGAAACCGAAGAAAAAGAGTAAGAAATGGCTAAAGTTCCGTCACGGCGGAGGAAGCGGCGGTTCTCGATATTGAAGAGCCAAGAAGCGGCAGTGGGGAAGGTATTTAAAGAGAAATTTGGGGCGTTAAACATCGAACAAGTCGTGAGAGGTAGAGATGAAATCTGAACCGCTAGATTAATCTGGGAGACAGTGGATTGTACGGCTGATGAGAGGTGATGTTGAGGATAAGAACGTATTAACAAGTGGACCCCACGACGCGAGGATCTGGAAAGATAAGTGACACGTGGACTTTAAGGAGGATAGCGGGACCAGTTTTGCCGTCGGTGAAAATACTAAAATGCCCATTTTTTGAAAACCTATATATACAAATTTAAGGTTTAATTATATATATATAATCAGCTCTTAAATAAATAAATATTAAATTTTGTTCTAATAAATCATTTATCTGTCTAATTTCTTTTTTAAAAAATTAATATATTTTTACATAAAATTTATTTTCTGTACAGTAAAAAAAAGTAAAAATAAATTATCCTATGCTGTAAATTTGTCATTTTTCTTCTATTCCACGTCGATATTGACATAAATATTTTCGAACGTTAAAATTTAGCATTAGATCATAAAGTATAGCTTCGTCAACCTTTAATTTTCTCGATAAACCGAGTAATTAATTAACACAGACAACTTATTACTGAGGCACGATAATTATATAGTCGGTAGTTAAGTGTTGAGCTTAACAACGTGATACACTTCATTTCTTTAAACAATAACAAATAAAAAAATTAATTGATGGAATTGTTCGATCATATCGTTTGAGGACGACGATTAAGAACAGCATAAAGAACAGAATGAAACCCGTGAATAAAAAATACACGATGAGACATTGTTTAAATTGAAGGTTGCTACGATCATTCTAGCTGAAGTTACTATTGATATTGAAAACGTGTCTTATTTTTTAATTTATTTCGTGATGCAAAATCTATCGAGATAAAAAGAAAGTTGACTAATGATTTTTTTTCAATTTATTTTACAACTGGGTGCATATTATAATGATTTCTAAAATATCACTAGTTGTTATCACGACATATTAAAATATTGTAATTTAATAAACTTATAAATTAAACTATTCAAACAATTGGAACGAGCTCATCAAATTAATCTTATTTAAATAAATATACTAACAAAATAATTAAATAATTAAAGTTAAAGGTTCAAATTTAAAAAAAAAAAAAAAACCGTGGAAAAAAAGGATTCAATCGTCTTGGAACTAAACGAAGGACCTAGATACAAGGGCAAAGGTGGAAATATGCCCGAGCTAAAGTTGGTCCAGATTAGGTCGAACGAAGCCGACCAAATCTAGCCAAACCACTCCAAGGGTCTATTTGGACCCGGGAGAAGGATTATTGGACAAATAATCCAACGACCTACCTCGCTTTAGCTCGAGGCTGATGTGAGCCAAGTTTAGTCAAATCCCTCGATTAAGCTCATCTATTTCCGTGATAAAATAAATTAATTGTTGAATCACGTATAGATCAAGAATGTTCTTTTGACTTATTTTGAGATCACCTAAACATGAATTGAACTTTAAATTAAATTATTAGTATAGTTGAATTTTCATAAATATCATTTGGATGAATAAGACAAATGTTTATATATTTAAATATATGGTTTGATCATCTAATAAGACCATATTATATATGACAAAGATTAGGTATTAGGTATAATGAGGACCTTATAGTTAATAGAAAATAATAAAGTATTTATATAATGGTCTTTAACCATCATGATCTGCTTGAAGGCAAACTCTATTAAGCTACGTTAGCGAGGTTTTTTCATCTTCAACCGAGATTCCTTTTTCCTTTTGTCTCACGACTTGTCTCGAATATTCGCTCAAACTCATTGCACTCACGAGCATCATTTTACCCTTTGTTGACTTCATCTTCACGAAGTGTTTTCAACTCTGTGAATTTTAACTCTTGCAATTTTGACGACTTACTTGTCGCAACTTGACATTCCTTCTACATTAGGTTAAAGTTCTTTAAACGTGTCGTTTCGATCATCTCTCATTATCTTCTTTTTCGATTACTCAATTGTCCCACTTTTACATCAAGTCAAGAATTTATTAGAATGAGTTTTGACCTTTAATGGGGTCAAAACTTTCTTAGAAGTCTTATCGGATATAACCAAACGATTCGTATAACGGCCCAAGCCCACCGCTAGCAAATATTGTCCTATTTTGACTTTCTCTTTCGGGTTTCCTTTAAAACGCGTTTGCTAAGAAAAAATTTCTAACCCTTATAAATGGTGTTTCATCCTCCTCCCCAACCAATGCGGGATTCTCATAATCCACCTCCCTTCGAGGCCAACATTCTTACTAGCACACAGCCTCATGTCTACTCCCCTTCGGGAAACAACCTCCTCGCTTGCACATCGTCCAGTGTCTGCCTCTAATACCATATATAACAATTCAAGCTCACCGCTAACAGATATTGTCTCTTTAGGCTTTCCCTTTCGGGCTTCCCTTCAAGGTTTTTAAAACACATCGGCTAGGAAAAGATTTCCACACCCTTATAAATGGTATTTTGTTCTCCTCCCCAACCTACGTGAGATTCTCACCATTCTTGTTGCTTAACTAGGTCATAACCAACTTTAGAGTCAACTAACACTTCTAATACTAGTCATGCAACATATCTTAGGGCATAACAAGCTTAACGAGTCCATCGAGTACATCTAGGATGATTTTTGTTGTACTCTAGGCTAAGAGACGTGAATCGAGACCGAGGTCGATATTTAGATAACATCAATAAGATGGTATCGAACCCACTAATAATCAATAGAAATGAAATCGAGTACCTTTTGAAGGGAATGAAATTACACGTTAGGATTGTGGATTTTCGAGTAGGGCCCACAGTCGATTCTCGTTGCAAAATATGAACGAACACAATTCATCTATCACAAGAAAAGAAAATAATTTAATCTATAAAGAGTTAAGCACATAATCAACTTCAAAATTTTGCTCCTCCTGGAGAGGATATTGATCCATAAGAATTTACTAAAACTTAGCAACATGTTATACACCAAATCATTCAGAATTAAAGTTGTTAACACTCACGGAATGAGTTTCCAAGCTCGTTTCATAATTTCGTCGTCTATATATGGTCGTAACGACCACATTAGGCGGTATGTTTCGAGTTCCCCGGAGGATGATTTGAGGCTTAGACCAGAAACAATCTTCTCCTGCAACGAGTTTCAGTTTAGATACTGAACGTAGCATTTCTCAGGAGATACCTCCCGAGATTAAGAGAGGACGTAATCATAATGCAAGAAGTAGAGCCCTTGATCGACGATTATCGGAAAAGAAAAAGACAGCAGTGTATGTTCACCTGGAAAAATAACTGAGGAAGAACATTACCTGCATTATGTGATCTTTCTTGATCATAACTTTGATGATCCCCATTAACAAAGCATATTCATTAGCATCAGGTTTCTGTACAAAGCAGAAATTGATTAAAAAGAGGACAGAAAAATGCGGAAGTGACGTTTTCAACCTCTAAGAACATGCTTGAGAGAGATTCTTTTTTTCACTTCTGTAACCACTCAAGCTCACCGCTAACCGATATTGTCCTCTTTAAGCCTTTCCCTCAAGGTTTTTAAAACGTGTCTACAAGGGAGAGGTTTCCACACCCTTATAAAGAAGGCTTCATTCTCCTCTCGAACCGAGGTGGGATCTCACAATCCACCCCCCTTCAGGGCCCAGCATCCTTGCTGGCACACCGCCCGATGTCTGACTCTGATACCATTTGTAATCGCCCAAGCCCACTGCTAGCAGATATTGTTCTCTTTGGGCCTTCCCTTTCGGGCTTCCCCTCAAGATTTTTAAAACATTTGCTAGGGAGAGGTTTCCACACTCTTGTAAAGAATGTTTTGTTCCCCTCTCCAACCGATGTGGAATCTCACAATCCACCTCCTTTCAGAGTCCAACATCCTTGCTGGCACACCGCTCGGTGTCTAGCTCTGATACCATAACAGCCCAAATCCACCGCTAGCAGATATTGTCCTCTTTGGGCCTTCCTTTTTCGGCTTCCCTCAAGGTTTTTAAAAAGTGTTTGCTAGGGAAAGGTTTCCACACCCTTATAAAGAATGCTTCGTTCCCCTCTCGAACCGTGGTGGGATCTCACAATCCACCCGCCTTCAGGACCCAGCATCTTCGTTGGCACACCGCCCAATGTCTGATTCTAGTACCATTTGTAACAGCCCAAGCCCACTGTTAGAAGATATTGTTCTCTTTAAGCTTTCCCTTTCGGGCTTCCCCTCAAGATTTTTAAAACGTGTCTGCTAGGGAGAGGTTTCCACACTCTTGTAAAGAATGTTTTGTAACAGTCCAACCCCACCTCTAGCAGATATTGTCCTCCTTGGGCCTTCCTTTTCGGGGCTCCCCTCAAGGTTTTTAAAACGCATCTGCTAAAGAAAGATTTTCACACCCTTATAAAGAATGCTTTGTTCCCCTCTCCAACCGACATAGGATCTCACAATTACTCTCAAATATGTCATTAATAATTTAAAATCAAGTTACTATTAAGAGATAGAAGTCACAGTTTACCTTATCAGGAATGGTTGCTTCTTCGGCATTCAATTCTACACCCTCATCTTCATCTGAGACCGTTGAAGCTGACGGGGGATTTTCCATTTCCAATGCAATATTTACATCATCGAGTAGGCGCTCGAGTTCATTGGTTAAGCTCCTTACTGTTGTTCCATGAAATAGTTAAATATCAGTAAACTACAAAGTCAGAGAATGTACTTTTAAGTACTATCATACATGATAAACCACAAAAAGGACAGAAGAATGTGCCTTGGGACATAAGAACACAAACTTTCCACAAAAACTGGCCAAAGCATAGCGAAATCAAGAATAAATGCGTGCACGTTTGTGGGGGAGACATTTTATCTAGATAGAAACATTTTATCTACCTTTTTTCAGATGATCATCCAGTCCGACCCCGCACACATGCACTGCATATGTTCACGAGAAATGAATCGACAAAATTAGGGAAATAACAAATGAAGATCAAAAGAAATATGAAATATATCTTATTGAAATTGAAACTATAACGGCCCAAGCCCACCAGTAGCAGATATTGTCCTCTTGAGGTTTTCCCTTTCGGGATTTCCCTTGAGGTTTTTAAAACACGTCTGCTAGGGAGAGGTTTCCACACTCTTATAAAGAATATTTCGTTCCCCTCTCCAACCGATGTGGAATCTTATAATCCACCCCCTTCGAGACCCAAAGTCCTCGCTAGCACATCACCCGGTGTCTGCTGATACCATTTGTAACGGCTCAAGCCCACCAGTAGCAGATATTGTCCTATTTGGGCTTTCCCTTTCAGGCTACCCCTCAAGGTTTTTAAAGAGCGTCTCCTAGGGAGAGGTTTCCGCACTTTTATAAAGAATGTTTCGTTCCCCTCTCTAACCGATGTGGGATCTGACAGAAACAACCAAATCGTGAGATAGAGAAAACAAGAGGAATTGGAAGAAAGAGAATGATAATACCCTTTCATTCGTTTGTAAAACAAAAGGGAACAATTTTTCCAATACGAGCATTAAAAATGTTGACAAACTTGCTTGTCAAAAGTCGGGAGAAAAACATACACTTCTTTGAACTTTGCAAACCGTTGTGAGTAGTGATGCACCCAGCTTCAAAGTATGATCTAAGACTCTCCGTATTGTTAGTTTCAACAACATTCTCGATCAACTTTGATGTTCTGTTTAGCGCAGGTCGTCGAAGAAGCTCTGCAAAGGCGAAAACAATAACTACAAAACACAACACTTCATCCTAACGGTAGAAGCAGATGACAAGTATCATATCAGATAAAGAACACACACCAAGTCCTTGCTGAACGCCAGAAAGCAACTGGCTTCCAAGAGTCCCCAATTCCTCGAGCTGTCCAACGCTGAACACTACCGATATCAAATATTTACACCAATCAAGTGGAACAAAATAAGAGAAAAGACATACAAATCTAAGTCATGCACACAAGAGGATCCTTATCCTTTTTATGTGAAGCAATATACAAACTCGAGTGACAGAAGCTTATTTCATTTTATCTTATTTTGATTTTTATGAGTGTCCCGGAAAACTTACTGGCCCCTTAACTATTCTCACGAGACAATCGTACAATCCTACTTTGTTTAGTTGTCAAGGTAACTCGTAGGATATTAAATCTTAGACAGGTAACCACCATAGCTTGAACTCATTTTCTTTGAGCCCTTCGTTATTTACACGACCATTATTGACTACTAGACCAATTCAACCGTGCTTGATTGATAGAAGCTTATTACAAATCACATTTTCTAAGCCAGCTGATATACCAATAAGTAGAGAGTTGAAATTTTCCTTTCCTGAAGATTCTTTAAAAGCTATTGAGAAAATGGCAGTAGAATCTTCAGTTAATCTTATAAAACTAATGAAGAAAATGTTAAGATTACCTAGCCATGAACTCTTTAAAAATCTTGAAAATCTTTTCTTCTGGATCGTGTTCAACTTTAACTTCTTCCATTCAAATTCTGCAATATGATTAAGGTAAAAGTGTTAAATCGCTACTAAATCCATAAGCTAAAGTCTAAGTTAAGGGATATTAAATTCGTGATCAACTCCATTTCTGAAAATCCAATCAATTATTTTTGTAATTGCCAGAACATTTCAGAATTGGGCGTATAAACAATCTGGAATTTAATGAAATCATACAACAATTTCAAAATTGGGCGTGAGGGATGACGAAGATTAATCAAAGAGCATAAGAATCATAATAGAAAATATTTCAAAAACTAAATCTGCACCGAACAGCAACTATTGAACTCTTCGGTAAAATCAATTGACAACAACAAAATTTAACATTCTAATTCAAAAAATTGACTCGTAAATTTTCCTTACCTTCTTTGAAATTTTCAATTACTCCAACTCGAATCAGCTTGTTCGGTCCAAGACGGATTCCGTCGCCTGCTGTTTTTCACTTGAAACGGGGAGAATGCAAGAGAGAGACAGAGAGAGAGAGTTTTGTTCGCCGATTAATCTATGAGGGAACAAGAAGAGATGGCGAAGAGAAACAAAGTAATGGAACTCAAAGCAACCAATAGCGAAGAGAGAGTGTGAAGATTCCGGCCGGACGGCGTGGAGACGGCGTAATAAACAGAAAGGAAGAGAAGTGAGAGAGACTTCGGTCCTGGAGAACCGGGCGGTGAGAGACTTTGTTTAAAGGTAATTTTAAAATAGGCTAATTTAATAAAAATATGTTTAATTTTGTATTATATTCTTTTGAATTTCTTTCAATTTTAATTTTTATACTTTCAAATATCTAATTTTATTCTTTATATTTTAATAAATCTTAAAATTAATATTAAGTTAATTTACGGTTGAAATTTTTTAAAAAAATCCAAATTAATTTTTGCTTTGGAAAAATATTCACATGAAAATTATTACTAGTATTTAACAAATTTTGATATAAAGGATAAATTTAAAATTAACGAGAATCAAAATTAAACAAAATCTTAGAACACAAACATATTCATATGAAGCTTCTTTACGATAGATTAACCTATTAACTTTAGCTTCCGAGCTTACACTAACAATACTTGATGAACATTGTTAACACCCGAGCGCTGAAAAGGTGGAAGTTGTAGAAGAAACAAAACAAACCCATTTCATTCTACATTCATGTGATTTGAAAAATATGTTCGAATTTAGTTATTATATTCTAAAATTTAGAATTTCAGTTCCTTTTTTAGTTTGATCAAACTTATGGTGTGATAAAACTCTAAAAAATAGCGTTCGGAGTATAGACTAGCACGACGCCGCTCGTGTAAGCTTTAGAAGCTTTTCTTACAACACAAAGAACAATCAACATCATTCTATCATTTGGTGCAAGAGTTATCCAGCTCTACGTTTTCACAACATATAGAAAACTAATTATAATATAAAACCCAGGAATTTCCAATGGAAGAAATAACAATCTTTAGAGAAGCATCATCATGATCTCCCTGGCCAGTACAAACCTCAGGGCGAAGAACACGAACGGCGCGAAAGTTGAGCTTCTACTGTCGGGTTTTTTTCGACGACCTTCCTGCTTAAACTCTTGATTTGCCATCTCCATGATGATCGGGCTTTGTCGATAGCTCTATGCATAATAATTCAAGCTTGCTTTCTTCTTGGCTTGAACCTGGATGATANAAAGAAATAAAATCCTTAATTTAGTACATGGTTACAAAGATGGACATGAGAATAAGTTATTCTCATATGGAAAGAGATTTAAATGTAAGTTATATCTGATATCCTCCTTTAACCAATTATTTAGTTTTATTTAGTGTGTTTTAGAAAGATACGTCCATCAATAGCAAAAAAATAAAATAAAATAAATAAATAGAATAGATTAAATTAGCCAAAAGTAATGGTTCACCTAATTATCAAAAAAAAAAAAAAAAAAAAAAAATCATTACTTCGACTTTTGCCCGGAGCTAAATATTCCACATATTATGTAACACCGCCAACAGATATTTTGTTTTCTTTGGACTTTTCCTTTCAAATTTTCCGTCAAGGTTTTTAAAACATATCTACTAGGGAGAGGTTTCCACACCATTATAAAAAACATTTCGTCCTCCTCGCTCAATATTCCACATTTTATGTAACAGCTCAAACCCATCGCTAGCAGATATTGTCCTCTTTGAGTTTTTCCTTTCAGGTTTCCCCTCAAGGTTTTTAAAAAGCGTTTACTAGGGAGAGGTTTCCACACCATTATAAAGAATATTTCGTTCTCCTCCTCAACGCTAGATATTCCAATTTTATGTAACAGCTCAAACCCACCACTGGCAAATATTGTCCTCTTTGAGTTTTTCCTTTCAGGCTTCCCCTCAAGATTTTTAAAACGCTGTCTATTAGGGAGAGGTTTCCACACCATTATAAAGAATATTTCGTTCTCCTCCCCGACACTAGATATTCCACATTTTATGTAACAGTTCAAATCCACCGCTAGCAGACATTGTCCTCTTTGGGCTTTTCCTTTCAGGCTTCCCCTCAAGGTTTTTAAAACGCGTCTACTAGGAAGAGGTTTCCACACCATTATAAAGAATATTTCGTTCTCCTCCCCAACTGTCCCCAACGCTAAATATTCCACATTTTATGTAACAGCTCAAACCCACTACTAGCAAATATTGTCCTCTTTGGGCTGGCTTCCCCTCAAGGTTTTTAAAACACGTCTACTAGGGAGAGATTTCCACACCATTATAAAGAATATTTCGTTCTCCACCCCAACGTAGGATCTCACATTTTAACACACTTAATCTTCTCTCTCCTTTGCCATGGAAGGCTCTCATGCCCCATGGCTCAACATCTCAAGCTTAAATATACTCCAGATTATTTTCTTTAGTGTTGTAAGCTGAAATAACGAACTTCATTAAGACTTATATGATCTATAATGCCCTCTCCCAAATTCGCTCGAACGATTATACGTTTGTACGTATGTGTATATATATATATCCATCATATTGATCCCCACTGCACTGTTCTATGGGGAGAATTCATGAGCCCTAACACTAGCTCTCCAAGAGATATCTAGGTTTTCATTCATTAAGCTTTCGACCTGAAGACCTAGAACCAGCCTCGAAAAACCTCCCCGAGAACATCCATTTCAAATTTTACCATTGGGGCTTACCATAGAGACCTCTCATCATTGTATCTTCGAAGATATCATGCAGCGTATATCTTAAAAACATGATAAATGAACGGTGTGTGTTCGTGCATGAATGAAAGAGGGTCACCTCAGTAGCCTCACGGCGGAGAGCCAGCATGCCCGCCTCAACACAAACTGCTTTTAGTTGTGCACCATTGAAATCATCAGTGGATCGAGCTAGTTCTTCAAAGTTAACGTCTGGGTGGACGTTCATCTTCCTTGAGTGGATCTACAATTGTGTTTCACAAAAACAAAAAAGAGATGAAAAAATTTATATATATTACATGGAAAAAGGAAGCAGCACAATAAAAGAAGTAACATAAAAACCTGCATGATTCGAGCCCTTGCTTCTTCAGTAGGATGAGGGAATTCAATCTTTCGATCTAATCGACCAGAACGCATGAGCGCTGGATCAAGAATATCAGCACGATTTGTTGCTGCTATAACCTGCAATAGTAAGAATTCTAATTCAATAAAATGACAATCAAACATCATGAAATACAAATAAACCCCGAAAGCCAGAAAATTTTCAAGTAAAAGTCAAATGCAAACAAAATCAACATAAACACATCCTACACTGAGGTGAAACAATGAATGGCTGACATCAAAATAATTCAAGAAAGGAATAAAAGAAACCTTGATGCGTTCATCGCTGCTAAACCCGTCCAGTTGATTGAGTAACTCCAACATGGTTCGCTGCACCTCCCTGTCTCCGCTTACTTCGCTGCAGCCGAAAACTAATAATAATTAAACAAATTGAGAGGGCTTCAGAAAAATATTGGAGGGGGGGCAAACATCAACAGACCTGTCAAATCTCTTTGTTCCAATAGCATCAATTTCATCAATAAAAATGATGCATGGGGATTTTTCTTTTGCAAGCTGAAAAGCATCTCGAACAAGTTTTGCTCCATCCCCAATGAACATCTGCAATAGTTCCAAGTTACATAGCTAATAGACAAATCTATATGGAAAGAAAGACAAAAGAATACAAGAACCACATGGAGGCATTCAACAGCATAGGAACATCAAAATAACCTAAAAAGAACGGGCGCTCTGAGTTTTTAAACAAACTTTTAGCTTCATTAACACGGTACGGTGCAGAAAACTAGCAAACAACCAAAAAATGAAGGACACAAAGTCTTTGAGGTTCAGTACTTATATAACTATTTTACCCAATCAAATTTGTACCTGAACAAGTTGTGGGCCAGCTAACTTCAAAAAGGTAGCATTTGTTTGTGCTGCACACGCCCGTGCCATCAAAGTTTTACCAGTGCCAGGAGGCCCATACAAAAGCACACCTTTAGGTGGACGAATTCCAAGTTTCTGAAATCGCTCTTTATGAGTCATGGGTAAGACAATGGCCTCCACTAGTTCTTGTATCTGTGCCAATAATATAACAATCAATTAAAATGATATCCAATATGACCTGTAAACTAATGAACGTATGGACAGTGTCAAGAGTCTGAGAGTGCCTGCTTTTCCAGCCCTCCAATGTCATTGTAGTCTTCTGTTGGCTTCTCATCAACCTCCATAGCCTTCACTCGAGAATCATACTCAGACGGCAGAGTATCCAAAATCAGGTAACTATCCTTGTTTACACCAACCAAGTCACCTGGCTTTAACTTATCAGGATCTACAAGCCCGACAACAGGTAAAAAGATAGTCTGCAGACAACAAAACAATAACTCAATACAAGTCTAGCCAATTTCTAGCCTATAAAAAAGTGGGACCTTCATTAAACACATGACATTTCTAAGCTATCAAACTAAAGAAATCCTGGTAAAGTTACTCATCTTCCATGCCTAGTTCATGCAACTAACATATCTAGTATCCACCATTACAGCTCCAGTCAACCAAAAAAATCAGTTAGAAATTGCTATAATTTCAACGTATGAAAGACCACATCAACTTCTATTATTGAAAGATCAAAACACTGACAAAGGAAATTCTAGTGGCATCCTGGCATTGACAGTCAGAAGTGGAGGATATTATGATTAAAAAAAAAATTGGTCATAGCGAACCTGACGAGTGGAGGTCTTCAGGACAACACATTTTCCTTTCCTTTGCGAATCAAGATCAATATTTGCACCATCTTCCTCTGCTTCATCTTCTGGGTTCATTTCCAAAATCTGAAAAAAGACAATTGGTCAGAAACAGAGTTCAAATAATATGGATAAATACTCAACATAAACCTAGATCGCCACCAAAAACAAGAGGAAATTGGCGTTCCAAGCATTAAAAGAACACACCAACTGTAACTCCAATTGGGTATAGAATAAAAAGTCACAATAGATGATCTATGATTAACACGCCATTGGATGGAAAATTGAAAGGAAGAGAACCTGCTGGTGCTTCCATCCTATCTATTGAAAACAAGAGCATAGAAGTAGCTGACAGGCTGGTAGCTGACTTGCTCTTCCTACTCCCGTATGTTCTCCTTTCTTTCTATTTTTTTGCCAATTAGAAGAAGGACTTGCGTATTTTTAATAAAAATATCTTTATACAACTCTCTAAACCCTATATACTAGAGGCTTCAAAAGATCACCTTCACCAAAGAATCTACCTAATAAGAATCCCTGGCTACTTGGCTCAGAAATAGACGAGAGAAAAACTAAAGAAACAGTGTACTTTCGACAGATCCACTTCAAGAATGACTTTCACCCACGGATATCCTTGGGTTGATATAGAATATCAAGCTCAGGATCAATTCCAATTAGGGCTCACATACAAGTTATAATTCAGAATAAATCATTTATGTTTCTGTATTTTATATAAATATTTAAACAACTACAGTTCAGCAGCCTTCGCAAAGATTTCATTTTATGCACAAAAACTAACTATCCCGGACCCTCACATCAAAACTAGGCCTGGAGCTTGCTACTAGGAAAATATAAAATACACATATAAATAATTCTGCGAGAAAAAGAATTAGCTTGAGAGCACAACAAGTCAACAGCATACCTCGACAATGTTCCCGA